TGCGGGGTACGCGTGTGTGTGTGTGTGTGTGTGTGCGTGTGCGGGGTACGGCTGTGTGCGGGGGTGTGTGCGGGGTGCGGTGCCGCCGCGCCGCCGAGCAGCTGCGGGAGCGCCCGGCCCCGTGCGAACGGGGCTCGGGGTCTCCGTGCGCCCCCCCAGCCCTCCGGGAGGTGTAAAATGGTTCCCGGCGGCTCCCCCCGCGCGTTACGTAAGGCTGCGCTGCCCCGGGGCTGCCCGCAGCGCTCCCCCGCCGCCCCGGGGCTGCTCGCGGGCTGCGGAGCGCCTCGCTAGCGGTGCGGGCTAGCCGGGGCCCCCTCTGGCCAGCAGCCGAGGGGTGCGGGGCGGGCGGCGGGGGGCGATCAGCCATTTTACGCCGCGCGGTGCTGCGGGCTCCATCTCTCCATCTCGCCGCCCGTTCGCCCCCCGCCCGGCGCGCTCATGGGCGGCCGCGCTCGCCGCCCGCTCTGCCTCGCCGGGAGCCCGCCGCCCCCGCGGTTCTCCCGGCGGGGCCATGGCCGGCTCCGCCCTCGGCTCGGCAGGGCCCGGCCGCACGCGTGCCGCGGGCGCGGAGCACACGCGTTGCGCGGCAGGCGACGGGGAAGGGGGGGCGGGCCAGCGCGGTCGTGGTAGAGGGCAGAGAGGAGCCCCCCCGGGCGGGGCGGCGAGTCCCGCAGCGGTGTGCGCGCTTCTGCCTCCTGTCGCTCGGCCCGTGTGACCCCACGGGTGCTGTGTGAACCCGCGGAGCGGCGGGGCCGGCCGGGCGCGGCTGGCAGTGCCCGTGCCCGGGCTGAGAGCGGGGAGCCGCGGCCGGCGTTCCCAGGGCGGTGAGCCGTGCCCGCCTTGGGCCCGCTGCCCTCCCTGCCGCCCGTGCCCGCTTCAGGCGGACCCGGGCTCTCCGCAGCAGCGCGGGCGGCAGAGATGCGGAGCGCGCTCGGTGCCGTGCCGGGCGCTCCCGCCCAGCGCCGCGCTCCCCCCACGCGTTTCGCCGTCCCTCCTGGGAAAAAGACCTAAGGGACTCTGAATCTGGAGGTTAGCTGTCAGCGGGAGCAGTTTCCCTCCGTTGGTGACCTTTTTTTACTCCCCCCGATTCGGCTACCCTGTGGGGTGGTGCTGAAGAGGGGCGGCTTGGCACAGGCGCTGGGATAGGTGGTGCAAGAGCTCAACTGAAGGAGCTTTCAGTGGCACGTGCGAGGGTAGGAGGGTATGGAATCCATAGCTGAAGGAAAAAAAGGTCAGAGCATGTAATCAGACACAGTAATGCTAAATTGTTAATCTTTGCAAACTGCTTAGATAGTTCTTCCTTTCTCAGATAAGGGGGGTTTGTATCAACCAGAACCACATGGGGTCTTTATTTGCAGATGATGTTACTTGGACTGTTGATGAAGTAAGTGTAGCAGTTCATAGAGCGTTCTGCAAAAATGTGACCGGTTTTTCTGCGTTCCTCAGTTCTGTGAAGTTAACGAAAACCTGAAAACAGGCTTTGCAAAACACCATTTTTTTTTTCCTACTAGCAGTAGAGACAAGCATAGTCACCTTGTCTTTGAGAAACTAAAGGTTACATATTTTTCTCCAAGACCATCAAGTGCTTTTGACCGGCCTTTGAGTACATATATTAGCTTTGCTCTTGTCTCTTTTGGAGAACTTTTACAGTACTCAGATGCTATGTGTAGGCTGTAGACTGCAGTGGTGGACTTTGAGGCTTCCAGCAGAAAGGATATGGATGACATCCATGTGTTGGATTTTCCTTTGTCTGAACCCTATCCAAGGCTTCAATTTTCAAGCAGTTTGAGGAGCTCCAAATTAAGACATGAACATGTACTTGTTTTTCATCACCTCAGTTACCACTGATGTTTCAGTTAAGTTATCTTATGCACTGGATTTGACTAGTGAAGCATATGCTAAAAATATGTACAGTATTCTCTCAATTACGTTCCCAGAAGGGTTTGAATGGAGAACAAGGAGTTCCAAAGACAAAAATTTGGTGTACAAGAAGTAGAATTTAGGAGCTGATTGCAGAGCACTTCATGCACAAATGGTTAAAAAGAATCCATCTCTTTTTGTCCCCTCTATGTTTATTCTCATCTGAAATACTGAACATTCTGCAGGTTGGTTTTGTTAGGGGTTTTTGAGTTTTTTTGTTTTGTTTTGTGGGGCTTTTTTGGGTGGAGAGTGTTGTTTTGATTGATTTTTTTTTTATTATTTATTTCTGGAATAATGTTCAAAGTACCTGTGCCCACAACCAGCACTATGAAACAATGCAGGTGTAAAAGAAAGTCACAGAAATGTAGGATGATATGAATCTGAAAATGCTTCAGTATTTATCCAGGTGTTTCACTCCAACAAGGCGATTGTCCTGCATGGAAATATAGTGGCAGGCTTATGCCATAATAGAAATGATGACCTTTTTCTGCCCCAAATCGGCACGGTAATATTTTGTCTCTTGATTTAAACCCCTGAGCCAGCCGTGTTTCAGGCTGCAGAAGCTCTGGCTGGTGTGGCAGAGGTGGGGTGCAGCTCTGCTCGCTGGTCCCAACCTGGCACCCACAGGTGGCAGCTGGCAGTGCCTGGGGTCCCCTGCACCGCCCCACCAGGGCTCAGCCTGCCTCTCTCCCACCCCTGGTAGCCTCAGGGCAACAGCACACTACTCCATCTGCTTTAAAAACAAACAAGCAAACAAAAAGCCCACTGTAAAAATATGTGAAAGTCTTCAAACTAATTTTCAGCGCTTGCTCAGAGTTTGTTGATGGAGGAAATGTTTTTTATTCGAACCAGTGGTTTAGGAACCATTGGGTTCCTAAACTTCAGAAAAGAGGAGATGGTCACTTACCCCTGAGGAATGCTCCAAACAGTGATACTACTCAGTCATTTGAAGGTGGCCAGAAAATGGGTGTAGAAGTGGAGAGAATGCTCTGTGAGCAGGTAGCCTTAACCTCATGTAAAAACTTCAGTGGGTGTTTCACCTCAACACCGAGAGATCGTGTCTGATGTGTGCCATGACAGCAAATCGGGCCACAATTCTACTGATTTTGACCAAGGTGGATGGGCCACCTTCACATAACCTGGGAAAGGAACACAAGTCAATTATGTTAAAAAGTAGCCATAAAAAATAGTCACTTTAGTTTGTTGGACTGTTGCATCTCTGCAAAGCTGTGTTGACAGGTCACTGGGAGTAGCTGCTGGAATCTAATTGCAGTTTGACACTTGGTAAATCAGCATCACTAGGAAGCCTAGTGGTTTGGATTGAGGGCGGTGCACATTTTTTTCTGAGTAATGGCACAATTAAGAGCAGGTTTCCTGCCATGACTGCAGTTGTAGTTTTCAAGAGAAATAGGCTGGGCTTAGCACTGTGTGAGAATTCTTAATTCATTCTAACAGAACCTCCTTGGTTCTGTTTGGTTTAACAGCTGGAGCAAAGGTACAGCACTGGAGGTGATTCATAGGGCAGAATGGAACATATCCAAACCACTGGACTTCGTTGTCCTTCAGCACAGTCTAATTGAGTCTAGTCTAATTGAAGGAGTGTGGACCATCAGTGATACCAGATTTTTTAAAAGCTTTTAATTCTGTCAAAATAAGAAAGAAGGAAAGTGATGAAGTTCTTCCTCTTAAATCTCCCTAGCCAACAGCTTCAGGGGTAGCTCTATTGTGCTCTCACATATTTTAGAATTGAAAGGATATTGGAGTCTCTTAAAGAGAGGTTTCCTATGGAGCAATATAAAACTGCCATAACGATAACAAGTTTTTCGTAAAGTAGTTTGAGCACAGAGGTAATATATGTACAATCTCGGATGTTTAATCCTGCTGGCTCAAGAGTCAGTGTTGAGCTTTACTGTTTTAAATCAAGTCTTACAGCTCTGCAGGGATCACTGCACCATGACGTTGTGACAAGGGGATGCTGATTCATGCATAAACCTTAGATCCTTTCATTATATCTTCAACCAGCAGCTTTGAAAACCTGTAAATATCTGGCATGTTGCAACTTGAGAGTCATGGCAAAGGTTTCCTCAACCATTTTGGAATATAATGCTACAGCTTTCATTCTTAAAGAAATAGCATTGAGCAGATTGCTGCCAAAATGCTTAAAGAATTAGCAAAAATAAATATCCTTTAATGGGAAGGATGGGAACAATTTAGACGTGTTTATTTGAATCAAAATTAGTGTGGATCAAGCCTAAATGTATTTCACAATAAATTATTAGAACTGATTTTAAGGAAAGGAGGGATTTATTAGCTGCTTGTGTTTCAGTTCATTTGTATTCTTGGTCCTTCTCATTTCCTTTTCGCTATAAGACATTTCTGAGGCTCAGCGAGCAGATGTGGAATAGGTTCTGTGCCTCCTTGTAATTAAAATGGTGAGGATCAGATGAGTTTCTGCAGTAAAATGATACAATATAACCAGGATGTTGCCTCCCGTGACTTTTCTTCTCTCAGAACATTTCTCCTCTCAAAATTGATCGCGTTAGCAAACTTTAAACATTCTTCTAGTCCCGAGAGTTATGCATAAAGAAACCTGGGGTATTTATTGTGTGACAGGGCTGTCCCTGCTGTGCATCTTTGTGCCTGGCTCACAGACCATATTCACACAGCCATGATCCAGAATATGGGCAGATACAAACCCAACAGTTTTCTCTTGTCTGCTTGATTTTCCACATCCTTCTTATGTGATTATTGCAATCATTTTGTCCATAATATCTGAAATAATTTACCATGCAGTTTTGAATACAGTATACAAATATATATTTTACTCTTAGAAATCTGAAAGTGAGTTATGCTTAATAGTAGTTTGTGAGTAGTTTGGCAGTCAAGCCTTAAATATGTCAATCAAGCTTGCACATAAACCAATATTTTATCAGTCAATCTCTTCAGTATATGTGTTTATATGTAATTTTATTCATATATACTATATGAAAATATATTA